AACTGGTGATGCGGTTAAAGGTTAAATGCAACCTTCTGCCCATCTCCTGATTTGAAGGTGTAGATGGAAACTTTCCGGGCTGGGTGGACCTCCAGGCTGATCCCTGGGGCGTTTCAAACTGCAATCTTAAGTACAGTGTGAGCTGCCCCGGGGGTCAGGTTGGAGGGCACCTAGCCCCATGCTGTCCCTGCAGAAGACCACAAAGCATGCCAGCCTTCTCCCTGTCTGTAGAGTTGTCTTCTTGCTGCCTCTCAGCATCCACAGTCATTACACTGGGGATATTAGAGGATTTATCCATATTTATTCTGTTAGCATCTCGAATGGACCAGTTGTTCATGGATTACTGTTGTCAGGTTCACCCTCCCAACATCATGTCTTGCTGGAATAAGTACCTGGAGCATGTGAAGTATGACTGGGATGGGGGGAAACCCTTATCTGTCCTAAATCAGTCTTCTGATTAGTATCTCCTAGTTCTAGCGTGGAGTGACTTGTTGAACACCACACCAATCTCTTGCAAACACCTTCTTCATAACCCTTATGGTAAGGCAGCTGCTCCATTCCTTTAATCAATTTAGTTGCCCATCTGTATGCATTCTCTAACTCCAGTGCATCCTCCTGGGATGTGGAAAACAACTGCACACACCATGAGGATGTGAACGTAGCAAGGCTTTATACGATAGTAGAACTGGTAAATACTCATTCTTTACTGTTTCCCTGCTGGTCTACCCTCAACATCAAGCCAAGCTTCCAGACATGTTTCAGAAGCAATTTATTTCGTAATTCCATTTGTTAACTGCAAGTGCTCTCCAAGGTTGTAGGTTTTAGCATTAAATAAAGCAATTTATTTATAATCTCACGGATTGAGAATAAAGATAAGCAGCAGAGCAACCAGAACCCTTGAGAATGTGTTTACTTTCTAGCAACTCTTAGTGTTATTTCCATAGGACACTGGTCATTAACTTATTAGGAAAAAGAAAACAGTGACTTGGGAACTGGAGAAGTCTCTCTTCCATTTTCCCTAAAACAAAACAATCAGTTCCTTTCAATTTGATTTTTATAAGTAAATTCTGTTGCACATTTATGAATCAAATATCCAGGAGTTTGTCCCCAAAAGATTCCTTATAAAAATTCACCCAGTCTTTGTTGATCAGAAATGTGGAGTTTAAAAGTAGATTAAAAAAGAAAAAAAAAAGGAACAATTGTTTGTCATGGGCACATCTTTGAGGAGCAAGGACCACTGCTAATCCAAGAGGGGACTTCACTGAATGTTCAAATGATCTAAAATATGTTTTACCTCCAGGGCTTTAAAAAAATGAAAATGTCTGAACTGTTCTCTTGTCTCTAGAGGAGGTTGCTTCACGCTAGGACCGAGGTAGGTTTGTAGCACGCATAGACAGTTGGTGCTCCATCTGCCCTCTGAGATGTAAAAACATTCATTGTCAGTCCTATGTTAAGTCTCTTTAAAATAGTGCTACCAAAACACATTGCTCTTATTTTAGCAGGAAGTTAATAGCTGTTGCATGCACATTTTATGTGTTGCTTTGGCTCGCTGGCGACACTGTGCCTCTCACCACTTGTGAAGTGGATGCTGTTGTCTAGCTGGTTTATCTCTTGACTCGATGGCCTTTTTGACAAAAAGGATAAAGTATTTCCTGTTGCTCTATTGCTTGTTATCATTGTTCTAATGACTAATTCACTTAGGCTGTAGAAATGTATCACCTGCAAACCAGAATGATGATTAGAGCTCACCCTGTTGTCTTTTGACAAAATAAAACTTAAGTTCTCTTGTGAATTTTCATATAGATAAGTTTGTGTATAAGCAAGCACTTACATTGACACAAAGACTTCAAGCAGTAAGTGTCAGGAATACTATCGAGCTAGTTAAATGCAAATAAGCCTTGCTAAGCCTAAACATGTTTAGAAGACATGTAGGAAAAAGCATGAAAATAACTGTTGCTATGCAAGCGGGGTATTTGTCCTAATCCTGATTAGTCCAGTGGAAAGCAGAGCTTTGCAAATATTAGGAATAATTTTATATGGTAAATAACCCACTTCATTAGCCATTGAGATGGTCCATATTTTTCTTTATAAATTCCTTAGTAAAAGCCAACGGGCAGAAGCTGAGAGCGCTTGTACCAGGACTGTGTACAGGTGATGGAGGCCAAGGAGTTGCTGGGTTGGGTTTGCTTGCCCCTCTCTCAGCTAATGAACATCTGTACAGGTGGTGGTTTATTTCTGCATCCTTTTTCTTCCTGCAGCGTCTTTGATGCTGTTTGAAGGTCACAAGTCTGACAATCATTTTTCATCGGTTTATACTTATTATTAATTTTTAAATGGTGTGTTAACTTTTATAGACATATTGAAATACTCATTTGTTATGTCTACAGCACATCTCTATTTAAAAAAAAAAAAAAAAAAATTGAATTAATGCTAGAGAAGCAAACCCACCCCAGGTGAGAAAGGTTCTATTCTGCTCTAATAACTTGTTTTTTTTTTTTTTTTTTTTTCTTCAGCAGCAGAAGGCTAAGGGTATAAATTGAATCCAAGTAGATGAATCGCTGCCATCAGTTCAGTTGTGCTTTACCTGAATCCACAGGGCAGCGGGCAGGAGCTGAGACAGCGGTTCAATTAAGATTGTGCTAGAAGTAAATCCATTGTATTGTTATAGAGGCTTTCGATTATAAAATTCTTCCATGGAATAGGGTGAGCTGACAAGACAGGCCTGAATGGTGCTTTTGTCCTGTTTGTACAAAAAGTGATTAGACTAGGGTAGGTCTGGGGCAGGGGGAGAGCCCTCCGGATGCTTAGATGACTTATTTTACTCTCCTATTTTATTGAAATAGATGCGTGCTTGCTTTCCTTACTCCCCAGCTGTAAACACATTCCTTTCCTTTGTCTTTCTGGGGGCTTGTGATTTCACAGACTTGACCTGACTAGCTCAGTTTCTTCTCCAGCAAGCAAGCAGTCCTGAGTGGGACCATGGTGAGGGGTCTGGAGAATAAGTCTTATGAGGAGAGGCTGAGGGAGCTGGGGTTATTCAGCCTGGAGAAGAGGAGGCTGAGGGGAGACCTTATTGCTCTCTACAACTCCCTGAAAGGAGGGTGTAGAGAGGTGGGGGTCGGTCTCTTTTCTCAAGTCACAGGCGACAGGACTAGAGGAAATGGCCTCAAGTTGCGCCAGGGGAGGTTCAGGCTGGATATTAGGAAAAATTTTTTCACTGAAAGGGTTCTCAGGCATTGGAATGGGCTGCCCAGGGAGGTGGTTGAGGCACCATCCCTGGAGGTGTTCAAAAGACGGGTTGATGTAGTGCTGGGAGGTATGGTTTAGTGATGGTGATGCTTCTTGTTTGTTGTGTGGGTGTCTATTTTTGTCAGTTAGGTTGACGGTTGGACAAGATGATCTTTAAGGTCCCTTCCAACCTAGAAGATTCTGTGATTCTGAGAGGAGGGGATTTCTGGAGAACACCTACTGAGGCTGACCTCTGGTGTTCCATTAATCCATGGTTTCCTCTACGCCAGCACCCACAACCCAAAAATTAGCAAAGAGGTAAAATCCCAGCCAAGATTCGCTCTTTATTTATTTCAAAGAGCTGCGCCTTGTTTTTGGAAGGGCTACGTGGCTGTTTTTTAATGCTTGAACATGTTCTCCACCACCTCCAGAGGAGCCTATTGCAGTGTCAGACTGTGTTTATCAGCCCATCCTCCCCTCAGTCTATATGTCAGCACTGATGTTTCTGTACAGTGAGCCCTCATTGGGGTGAAGCTTAATATTGGGCACTGACCCCCTCTCTTTTCCTGGGCTTGGGGCAGTCTTTTAGCTCAGAATGAGCCCAGACCCCAGTCTCTAAACAATCCTCAGGTGTGAGTCTGCACAAAACCACAGCAGGTGTTGGCCACAAGCAGGACGAGTTCACTTTAACCACAGGCATTTGTCACCTCCTGTTTCACCTGCAGGAAGAGTTGTTGCCTTTGTGCTGTGTCTTTTGTTCTTCAGCTGTGAGATAATCCTGACTCACGGTTTCTAAACCTCTGCATAAAGGATGGGAAGGTCTCTGGGATGAGGTGGATGCCCTTTCACTGGATACAAGCTTGTTTATAGAGTTGTAAAATGCTCGTTTTAAAGCTGCCAGGGACTTTTGGATGCTTGAAAAGTAGAAAGATGAGTGAGGTTAGAAGAGCAGTCCTCTCATAGCTCCTTATGGAATGGTGCCATATGTGACTAGGTGGGATTTGTGTCCTGGGTGGCAGTTTTCACAGCTGTCCTGCTTTGAGGTAGAACAGAACCAACTGGTTTGGTTGGTACCAACATCTACCTGTGCCCCCCAGAGCTCCCAGTGTGGTTCCACCAGCAGGAGCACTGCCAGGCACAGCATGAGCCGTGCCTCCAGCGTGCTCTGCTCCAACCAGGCCTCAGGGGAGGAACAAAGGGAATGATACATTACTCAGTCTGTTGCTACTAATTTTATTTAGGAGAAACCATGCAGTTAATTACCCTTTGATGTTTAGTAAAGGCACATCTGAACAGAGCATAGAATCATAGAATGGTCCAGGCCAGAAGGGACCTCCAAAGGTCATCTAGTCCGACCTCCCCGCAGTCAGCAGGGACACCCCCAACTAGACCAGGTCCTTTTATGGGTTTTTTTTGCACCACTTGCCTCCACTGCAGCTGATCTCCTCAGCAATATGCTCATCTTCTGCAGCATCCTTAGTATCACAGCAAGCCCAAGATAAACAACAAGTGCTCTCAAAGCTCAGGGAGGGGATGGTGCTAACACAGCACCATCAGAGAGGAGCTCGAAAACAGGACTAGGAGCTGGAGCTCAAAAATCATGTCTAGGAGGGGGGTGGAGTGGAAAGGAAAGCAGGAGGAGCTGTTAGGCTGCCTACTTTTTGAGTAAGACACAAACCTGTCCTCCTGGCAACTGCTGGAACAAGCTCAAATCCAATTTTAATTGCAGAGATCCCTCTGTGGTTCATTGTAAGCGATGTAAAATTAAGAAGTTGGGGGTTTTTGCAAACTAGTTTATTAAATCATATAAAATTACTACGACATTCACAATAGGGCTAGAAAGTTTTGGAACTTCATTCAACAGTGATAGAGAAACAACAACCATTTCATATCTGGTAGTTCAGTTAAGACTACATCCAGGGCCTCCTCAAGATCAGGCACCAGTGGATCTCACAGGGCAGCTGATGCTGTATGGGACTGGACAGTGCCCAGATTTCCAGTGCAAATACAAAGTTCTTTCAAGATTATGCATTAAACTGTACCCAAGAGGTTCACAGCTCAGGAGGAGGAGGAAGGCAGCTGGAATGAGAAACGCGGATAAAAAGCAGACATACCAGAGGAAATAGTTTCTTACTCTCGGGGCTGAGGACCCACACATACAAATTTTTACAATAAATCAGACAATCTAGCAAGAACTAGTGTTTGACTTCCTTGCTGGTGCCAGAAGCTGTCAGGCTTGAGAGTCATCAGGTCTTTGCCTCAGCGAGAGACCTCAACATGTTAAAAAGTCACCAGCGAGGCGGTCGAAAGAAGCACAGCACCACTCAGGCACAGGGCATCTCCTGGGCTCCTCAGTCAGGCCTCTTTAATGGGGGTACAACCTGCAAAGAAGCTGGTGTTGCTCATCAGCATTCTCTTCTTCCGCTTCACAAACAGCATCTGGTTCTCCTGAAGTTCCTCATCGCTCACGGGCAGGGAAGAGGGAGCGCCCGGCTTCTTCATGAAGACTTCTTGGCCTGTGATATCTTTCAAGACCTATCAAAAAAGGCAAGGAAGACAATTTTTTGGAGTGGGTTGGTGGCCTGAAGAAGCTCCCCAGCTCACACTGGAGCTTGGAGGTTGCACATACAGAAGTTGCTGGGCCAATTTCTTTACTCAAGTCAAAACACAAAGGACAAATTCCTGGGCTGAGCAGGAAGAGACAGCATTTGGGAATAGGGTGCAGAGGGTACAAGAGAAGGGAATTCTTTAGCTGAGGCAAAGTTACAGCTGCCAAGTCAGAGCACACAATGCCTTAAGAACAGTAAGTTTGGGCACAGGCAGGCATGATTTTGTCCTATGAGCTCCTCAGTTACCAGTCTGTCTCTGGAAAGACTCTAGGAAGTGCAGCAGGAGAGCATGACAAGCCCACGTGGCAAAGTTTTAGTATGAAAACTGAAGCATTTAGACTCAAATACAAGCTGCCTTGACAGCTGTAGTGTGTCCAGAATTCAGGATTTTCTAGCAGCAGCCTATCATTTTGGGTTTATTGGGGTTTTCCCCTTCTTTAAGATCCATCACTAGCCACAAACAAGGTGCACACACATTCAGAACCACTATTCTTTCTTACGACTTTAGGCGGTACCTTTGTAGGCTGCGTGACAGGCTTAAAAAAGGTCTCTGCTACAGTTGCTCCAGTGGAATCTTCAAGTTTGGAGGAACCTTCAGAGTCCCTCGATTGGTCCTCGCAAAGCGTGGCATCCTGTGGGGCAGTACTACTTTGAAGCACATCAACAATATCCATCCCTTTCTTCCCCACCAACAGCTGAAGAAATAGTAGAGGTCCCTAAGAGACCTTCTCTCCAGTTGCAAAGTAATTCGTAGTACAGGATGCCACATGCCTCTGTCAGGCAACTGAGGCACAAACCAATCAATAATTAAAGAAATACTATGGAAAGTCTCTGCTTCAAAACTCTAAGATCCAAGACTAATAATGCAGACAGTTTGAGCACAAATTTTAATGACCATCAGTTGCTGTTGAACCTTCCTAATGCTACAACCCCCTCCCCAAATTATTCCTTCCATTCTTTTAAAAAAAAAAATAAAAATCTGAAAATGAGTTAAGTTTTTGTGCCACCTGAAGCACAAAGATGCAATTTTCTTTTACTAAGTGCAAAAGAAAGATTTAAACTTGTCTTCAGATTCATGGCTGGCAACTGGCAGTGGGTGAACTGCTGTGACTCGGGACATCACACAAATTCCTCTATTCAGTGCAAGAGCCTGGTCCTGCAGCAGCAAACTTTGTGCTCAATTAGCACGGATAAACACTGAATTACAGTGACATCTCCATACGGGTCAGAAAGGTCCATATACTTTCCCTGGACAAAGCAGGTACACTAACAGCATAACCGTGAGGCATTCACAGAATCACAGAATCTTCTAGGTTGGAAGGGACCTTAAAGATCATCTTGTCCAACCATCAACCTAACTGACAAAAATAGACACCCACACAACAAACAAGAAGCATCACCATCACTAAACCATACCTCCCAGCACTACATCAACCCGGCTTTTGAACACCTCCAGGGATGGGGCCTCAACCACCTCCCTGGGCAGCCCATTCCAATGTCTGATAACCCTTTCAGTGAACAAATTTTTCCTAATATCCAGCCTGAACCTCCCCTGGTGCAACTTGAGGCCATTTCCTCTTGTCCTGTCGCCTGTGACTTGAGAAAAGAGACCG